ATAAGAAACCCTCTTACATTGTTGGTGGTAAAGCAAAATGTTCCAGTTACTCTGGAAAGCTTTGTGGAGGTTCCTCAAAACCCTAAAAATGGATCTGCCACATGATCCAGTGATTCCATTCCTAGGAATCTTCCCAAGTAACAGAAAAACATGAATTCAAAAGGAAACTTGCACTCCTATGCTTATGGCAGCTCTATTTACAATATGAAAGATATGGAAACAACCCAAATGTTCCAAAACAGACAAATGGATCAAAAAGCCTGTGGTATAAATACAAAATGGAATATTACTCTGTAATCAAAAAAGATAAGCTCATGCCATTTACAGCAAATAGATGAAGCTAGAAGCTGGATTATGCTCAGTAAAATGAGTCAAAAGGAAAAACAAAAGTATCAAGTGGTTTCACTTATGTGCAGAATATAGAGAAACCCAACAAAAGGTCAAGAAAAGGACAAAACTTGCAAACTGACCATAGACCTGGGAGGGAGGAATCAAAACAGTGGAGACAAGAGCACAGGAAAATGGTGATGGCACACAGGTTATACGGTGGTGGGAGAACCATGGGGACTGCCCCTGACGGGAAAAAACAAACACTACAAAAATGAATAATGCTGCAAAAAAAATACAAATAAATAGTAAATAAATTTTGTAAACTATTCAGGGGGGGGGGAAGAAATGAAAGAAAAGTTGAATTCTACCAAGTCTTTAAATATGCACAGACTTAGGGGATTCAGCAGTGCAAAGGATTGAAGGTACTATAACAAGGGGATAGAGTTTGCTGCTAATTCACGCAAAATCTAGACTTATTTTTTCTTCTAGCAGCATCAAAAGGACTATAAAAAGAAAATTTGAAAACCTATGTTGTAACATTTTTATGAGGAAAGCATGGTAGAATCATTTACATAATACTGATATCATACATACATAATACTAAAAAGGCTGAGTACAGTGGCTGGAACTCTGAGGGCACTTAATAAATTGTGGTAAAGGTAAGAATTTTAATTGCTAATAATAATAGCACATTTTGCTTCCAATTCAAAGTATTGGTTGCTGTGAACCATGGACTTCCTCCTCCCTGACTTCTACAGTAAATGGCATAGCTTTTCTCTTCTTTATTCAATTATTCACTTAGCAAATAATTGTTAAGCATCTCTACAGTTCCCTCTGAGGATCCAAGTTTTAGATTTGATAATAACAAGGAAACCTTAAGAGGTCAGAAGGTGTTTCATATGTACCTTCCTATTAACTCATTTACAAGTTGTGGGATTCCAGATACCTTGTTTGCATGACCTATCTTTTAGTTTTAAATGAGGTAATAGGGAAGTACATGGAAAACACCTTCTTACCCAGAGAGACCAAGAGGGCAGCTAATCAAGGCTGTTGAGTCTCCAGAAGCTCAGTCAGCAACTGCTTATTTAAATGTAGGGGGAAGGGAGGGGAGGGAGCTTATTGTTTAGGGTGAATTAGTCTCCCTTTTGAGAAAGCAGAGGGTGGATAAGTGAGATTCAGAGCAAGGGTATTAAGGTGTCATGTTAACTCTCCTTGGCACCACAGGTCTAAAGGCTGTCATTTTTATAGCTGGGGACATTGCATTTGGGTCCTGGACCCTGTCCCCCAACAACAGATAAATCACAAGCTTGCAATCTGCTTGCAATGGATTTACTTCTGCTTGCTCCCTCCCTCCCTCCTCCCACACACCTGCCAATCAGATTGTTTTCATTAAAAAAAAAAAATCCCCAAATTTTTAATTTACCTTTTTAATTCCAAATTCTATGTTTAGTTCTCTACTTGTTTTCAATTTTTCAATTCTATGGTATCAATCTTTATTTACATAAATGTAACCACTCTTTTACTTAAAGCTCATTCTAGCCTTCGTATACTATCCTAAATGTTAACATTTCAAGTCACTATTTTTCTTCTTTATATTTTAAATTCCTCTAATTTGACTTCTAATTCTTTTTTAACTTGACCTTATTTCATGGCCTCAACTTCTACCTTCTCTTCACTGCTTGCTGGATTTTCCCTTTCCCCTCTGCCCTAACAGCCCCACCCCTAGCTTTTCACCTTCTTTTTGTGGATGTATGCCTTACTAGTCAGCCAGAACTATATAGACATAGAAGTCATGGGGACCTGCTACTAGCCCAAGAAAGTTAGAGACTATTTTCCCACCTCACCTTTGATCCACAGTATAGATCATCCCTGAATGTTCCAGAAACCCCTACACTAACTATGTCTAGACTGCCATTTAATTCATGCAGAGAACACAATAAATTCGCTGGACAGGAACGTTTCCTATTATTTCACACTTTCTATTATCTCACTCTTCTATGAAAACTTCCGTGTTTTAAACGTTATTACCAGTATTACCACCACCCACCACCCCTCAGGGCACACCAAGACCTAGATGTGGGTAATTACACATAGGCACACAGAGTCAGAAAAGTTGGCTGTAAATTCCAGGTCGATGACACAGCTGCCTCACTGCATCACCTATTGCAGCAGCCTCAGTTTCCCCATAATTAAAGTGGGATAATACTATTATCTACCTCATACTTTTGTGGCATGGATTTGGTGAGATGACATACCTAAAGTAGTACCTATCTTTGCACAGAGGACTTTCTCAAGAGCAAGCAAAGCCTGTTCTTTATAAATGAAATGAACTTCTTTCCCCTTACGGTCTCACAGCAAGCGTGGGCTAAAGAAAGAATAACTCGTGTTACAATGGTCTTTGGTTTGCTAGTGGAACGTTTAAAAGGATAGTTTGTGATCAGCTCCACCTTCAGGAATGAAGAAAGACGTTCAAAGCTCTGTAGCTTATGAACTGCAAGTCCTGTGACAGACCTGAACAGGTAACTTCTTGCTGCTGAGTGTAAGAATGTGTTCGTTCTCAAGACAACAAAAACTGCCTTGACTTGCAGGATGATATTGTCGGACTAATCATATTTAGACCCTACAAGAGCAAGTCTTAGCATAAATAAAGTAATTAGAAATAAGCTTTCACTTCAAATGATCAATAGGGATCAGACTGCTTTCTCTGAGGTCAGGGTTGGCAGCATATGAGCAGGGTAGGGAGTGAGTCAGGAGAGGGGGCATAATAAAGGAACCGCCTCATTCTCAGGAGGTAAGAGCTTTCAATGCCTTCTGCTGGCTCAAGCATTTCATTTGGTTTTTCTTGGGAACAGTCTCATGCTATTTGCTCAACTTTTCCTGGCTTCTCTTGCAGCACATCCAGCAGCAGAGGAACTCATTCCAGGGGAGAATGTCAGGGGATGCCTTGGCTCTAAGTCAGGGGTGGAGTAGTTGGTATTGGGGAGGAAGATGCTGGATGCCATTAAAAAAGGCATTTCTTTGCTGCAGCCATAACTAGTCTCTTTTCAAAAACCAGAATAATAAGTGTTCTGTCCAAACCACCTGTGTGGGTAGGATAAAAGATCTGGGGAAAATGCCAACCACTTGTGAGATCTTAATCATCGTAGACTACTCACAGTAACCAAGGGCAAAAACAGCTGCTGTGGGTTGTAAGTGCTATATGTGCTACTTCCAAGGTCAAGGCCATCGGCCTCAGCCACCTCCACCAAGTCAGAAGTCTAAGGCCCAGATCATGTCTCTTCATACTGATACTCTCCATCCCCCATTTAACCCATCTCTTGCTATTTTTGGTCCCCCTAACTAATCCCCCTATGTGATTTGAGCCTTTTTCACCAGAAAAATTCCCTCTATCCACAACCCTATTTTTGCTCTAAATGAAAACATGAGGTTCCCAGAGGACACAGCTTCCCTGAAGCCCACTGAAGATAAGGCTTCTTGCTTCAACACCATTCCCTCCCCCACCTAGTTCCCTTTTACTGTTTCCACCATAACTCTCCATCCTCTTTTTTTTTTTAAAGATTTATTTATTTATGCATATGAGTCTATCAAAATGAGGAGGTGTGACCAGACTTTCTGTGTGTGACAGCAATAAGTAGGGACAGGGGATGTCTGAGTATAGTGACACGTACCTCAGTGAGCTGTGACCAGAGGTGCTGGGGTGGTGAGAGGATTCACCAGAGACAGTAGGAAGCAGAACAAGCCGGTCGATGAAGTAAGCTGCTGAGGGGAGCAGAGGGCAGGTCAGGAGAGGTCTGCTGTGCCATGTGGGTGACCTCAGGGGCAGGCAGGGATCAAACGCATGCTGAAGTGGCTTTAGATTAATCTTAGTGCTGTGCTTTAACCCACTGCACCATCAGGGAGGGTCTCCATCCTCTTTTAAAGGCTCACTGAAGTACATATCACCATACTCAAACATCCCCTGTCCCTAGTTATTACTGTCACACGCAGAAAATCTGGTCACACCTCATTTTGATAGACCCAGTTAATGGTCTCACTTTCCACCATAAACATTCTGTGTTTCCAAACCTGGGCTTTTTGAGGCTTCCACACTCTGCCACCTCTCCCCTTACCTCTCCTTTCCACTTCTCTCCTCTCTTCACCTCCCCCATCATGGTCCTCTACTGCTAATAGAAATGTACAGTTTGGGCCCTCCCTGGTGGCCCAGCAGGTTAGGATGCAGCACTGCAAGCTAGCTGCAGCTGCTTTAGTGCAAGTTCGATCCCTGGTCCTGGAGGTGACCACATGGCGTGGCAGACCTCTCCTGTCTCACCCACTGCTCCCCTCAGCAGTGTACTTCGTCCATCTGCCTGTTCTGCTCCCCATTCTGTCTCTGCTGGTGAATCCTCTCACCACCCCTGCACCTCTTGCTTTTATCCCAGTTCTGTATGCATAAGTAAATAAATCTTTAAAAAAAATGCCCCCCCCAACATAGAACACAAACATACCGATCTGATGTTAGTCTCATTATTAATTTTCCAAGTAAGTTAGCCAGAAATACCCACCCCTGGGACCTTTAATACAACATTTAGGTTCTCCAGTTACTATACAATACTTATATTTGTGCCTAGTGTACAGTTCAGTACCCCTGCTCCCTTGTTCACAAGAAAAAACAAAGTAAAAAAAATCCTTACTTTTGCTTTTCCGTTTGGAATTCCTTCTGCTGCATGTTGCATAAGTCCTCTGTAAGACTTATTACTTGGTCACAGAATAAAGATGGAGAAACAGAAGTTCCATCAACTTGTAGCTCATCAAAGCACAGTGTCCTGAAAGCGTACGAGTCATCACAGCAGCGTCCCACACGCATGTTGATGGGCTGGGCCTCATGTCTTCTGCATAAAGCTCCAAGAATCAGCTTTGTCTTTCTCCAAAGAGAATTAAAATAAAAGCCATTCATTGTGTGGCCATTTGTTGGTAATCCATAGCTAATAAGATTATGTTGAAGTGGTTTTTTAATTTCTAGATTCTGCTACTACCACTTGTATCTCACTGTTGGGGTAAAGAAATAAAATGTGTAGTGCACAGCCTTGTCTTTGCTCTTCCATCATCCTCACTTGGCCCTCACCCACCTGCAGGTTTCTCTTCAGTTCAGTTCAGTTCAAAAAGTAGTGTGGGCCCTCCCTGGTGGCGCAAGGTGTTAGGACAAAGCACTGCAAGCTGGCCACAGTCACTTCAGTGCAAGTTCAATCCCCAGCCCTGGAGATGACCCACATGACGCGACAGACCTCTCCTGACCTGCCTGCTGCTCCCCTCAGCAGTGTCCTTCATCGATCTGCCTCTTCTGCTCCCCACTCTGTCTCTGGTGAATTATGTCACTGCCCCTGCACCTGGGCTTGTACCCCAGTTCTTTATACATAAATAAGTAAATAAATAAATAAATCTTTAAAATAAATAAATAAAGACTAGTGTTCACTTTAGGCAGTTTTCTTAGCAGCATCCATTTCAAACCATCCACTTCAAATCAAGTCTTAAGTTTAAGGTTTGACCAAAAGCCTAAAATCAAAACTACTGCTTCTATAACTCAGATGTAAGAATGATGACTGGCATTCTTACTTAAGTAGCTTCACTCCAGGTTGTTTCTATTTTTTATAACAGGACATCTGTAATTTGGCACATGGTAGATGTACGGAAGAGTTGTTAATTGAAGATAAAAATAAGCAAATAATGAAAAAAATCCTTGGAGGTTACCTTAGTTATCTCTGTCATTTTCAGGCCCTCCCTTTCCAAAATTGTCACCTTGGTTCCAAAGTGATATCTGATATTTCTCTTAATAATCTGTGCACACTTGTCCTCTATGTGACCATAAGTGACCTGTCATGTATGTGGGTGGGAATGAAATAATTTAAGCCAGTAGGCATCAACATCTAGTGTGTACAGTATAACTAAAGAATAGAAGTTTATTATAAAGCAAATGGAGGGCAGGGCTAAACAATAAGTCCCTTAATTTGCAATCAAGGGCCCTCCCTGGCCATGCACCAGTGAAAGTGCAGCACTGTGAAGTGAGTTGCAGCCTCTTTAGTGTGAGCTTGATCCATAGCCAGGGAGGTGACCCACATGGTGCGGCAGACCTCTCCTGACCTGCCCTCTGCTCCCTTCAGCAGTATACTTCATCGATCTGCCTGTCCTGCTCCCCACTGTGTCTCTGGGGAATCCTCTCACCGCCCCTGCTCCTCTAGCCTATAGTCCAGATCTATACACATAAATAAATAAATCTTTTAAAAATTTGCAATCAAATATATATATATATCAATTAAGTATAAAAAAGCTACTCTGTCAATTAGATAGGATAGAAAAAGTTGTCAGCTAACAAGAACTCATGAGAATTGAGACCTAGAAATTTTATAGACAGAGTCCTGCATTGCAAAGAAACAATAATTTACCATGTGTCACTATAGTCTGGAAGAAATACCCCCTAAAACCACCCTTGCTCTTCCTCTTACTCAATTTGCACAAATCCCTAGATTTGAATTCAACTTTCTAAATATTTTGTTTCAGGAAAAAGTATAATCTAGTTAACTGCCTCAATTAATCTTGCCATGGGGAAGACATAGCTCATTGTGACTAACATACTGATGATCTGTCTAATAAATTTAACACTGTGAACTTGATTAAAAATGAGTTCATTTAAAACCATCATTACCTCTTTATCTTTGTCATTTCTGAAAAATCACTTCTGTCGGTTTGAAAACCCACAAAATAGACCCTGATATATAATCTAGGAAAGGACTTGCTCAACCTTACATCCCCAATGTTAAGAAAGCAGTCTAACATCCCTGTTAAGTAAATATGATTGGAACGAGCTGACCTGAAAGAATGTCTCCGAGGGGCTGAATTACTAGGCCCTATTGACAGTTCATAGATGTTTCCACTGACATAAGACTGACTAAGATAAGTTGGAGATTACAAGTCCAACAGGCAAATATGGAGCCCTAGATGTGCTTACTGCATCCTCCATGCAGACAAACTGCTGTTCGTCACTCAGTGGGCAACACTTGGTAGCTGCAGCTGCCATATTCTTCGTGAGTATAACCAACTCTTCAGCCGGAAGCTGTGGGATCTTCTTAGTGTAAAGGATGATGAGACTGAAAAAAAAATAAACCCTCTTATTCCTGGCAATGGCTCTGTGCCCTAAATGAAGAATTTTACCATTTCCTCAGTATCTGATGTTGTCTCTGATTTAGGATGAACAAGGCAATAACTCTATTTTCCATTCTATTTTAATTTTAATTCTAATTGAATTCTGTTGTTTCCATCTCTGTTCCAGTAGCCCAATGACTTATTCAGTATATCTGGAGTTCTCTCCCCACCTCACACATTACTCCACTTTGATTTATCTTTTGTCTACCTAAAAGGATACTCTGAATATCCAAGCTAATCTGGATGGCTATAGAATCAGAGGAAACAGCTTCTGAAATGAGAGCATGCATGTGACATTAAAGCTTTTCTGGGTGTTTTACAATGTGTAAGTAGGGGAGCTATGGTAATAGTGATCAGCAAGCAGCTCCGGCTCTCAGTGGGCTCACACACTAGTGTGGGACGTGGACACTGGATGGTGTGAGGGTGCACTGAGGCTGTAAGTACAGATAGGATGGCATCTAAGCCCATCCAGGGAGGCCATTCTTAGAAGAAATTATATGAGACAATAACTAAAAATGAGCCACATTAAGGGTGAAAGTGAGAGGAATGTATTTGTGGAGTCATTGACTGTGATGGGGGGGATTGGAGATTAGAAGACAAGAAAGAAAGTTCAGCTGCAGTATCAGATTTCTATTGCTTTTATGATGATTGTTGCTGTGTAAAGAATGGCTTGGAAGTGGGCAAGAGGCAAAGTGAGAACATTTGAAGGTCATTTTAGTAATTCAGGTAAGAAATGGTGAGGCCAAACTAACAAAGAATGTTGAGAATTTAGAGAAGAGAGAGAAAGAGATTTAAGGAGAAAACGACAGAAGTAGACATGAGGCTTACAAAAAATCAGAAGCAATTATTGTATTACATAATGATGGAGCAGAGGAAGAATCTAAGTGTAATTTTCAACGAAACAGTCTAATGTAGTGATTCTCAAAGTGTGACGCCTGGATCAGCAGTAACTATTCCTGGGCACTCGTGAAAATGCAGATTCTCAGGCCCCACCCCAGATCTACTTAATCAGAAATTCTAGGACTATGTTTTAACAAGCCCTACAGCTAATTTAGAAGCATGCTAAAGTTTGAGAACCACAGATCTAATCCTTAAATTAGACACTTACAACTGAATACAACATAAGCAAGAATATTTCTGAATCCATTATCTAGGCATTTAAGTTAAGATCTATATTATGGGACACTACATCAAACTTTTCCTCAATACTTTGCTTCTAAATTGACTCTTACAGTAAGATCTTAACGATCACTAAAATTTGACTTTTGTTTTGAAATGCAATGGTCTTACCATTGTCTACAGACAGGAATTTTATATGTTCCCTTTGGCAAATAACTAAAATTATCACTTCTCTCTACTCTCAGTGTGACAATACCAAATTTGCCATCTAGAACTGACCAGAAACTGACAAAGGACTGAGATTAGATCTCTTTTGCAATCCTATTCAAAACCACAGGAAAAGCCACTACTTAGTGCTCGATGTGAGGGAGAAAGCCTCAAAGAAATAGCAGGAGGGCAGGGAGTACTTGATTAGCTCTCTAACTTCTGGTTATTGGTTAGAACCTGGAACTGTTCTGATAAGCAACAGATAAACACCCAAATTTATGTAGACAGCTATCTTTTTGAGACAAAGATACCCAGTCGATTTAGTACGTTTTTTCTCTTGGTTTCTGATATTTTAAAGTTGGATGAAGACTCTCAGCAAACCTCAGCATCAGGATTAAAAAAAAAAAATCACTAACAAGCATAAATCTGGACAATAAGTTAGAAGCATACCTGTCATGGAAGTTACTATCCCCTAATTTCTTATGTAAATCGCAGTGACTTTTTATACGCTCATGGCTTTCATGAACCACTCTTTGGAACAACTCTTTCTGAAAAATAAGTGTCTATCAGTGTTTAGCATTGCAACAATATATCTTGAAGTAAGATTGCAAAAACCTCTTCTATAACAATTTAATGTAGCTGTTTTCCTAAATCCAGGGTTTTATTTATTTAGTATGTTTGTAAATCTTGAAAAGCATGTTTTGCTAAAACAGCAGTGGCCATGTACTTTGTGGAGATAAAGAGTGGGACCAGAAGATGCATGCTCAGTTTCCCCTGATAATTAACGCATTTGTGAGTTTGAATGGCATGCTTTACAAGCACAAGGCAAATCATTCATCAAACAAAAAATAGATCTGTAAAAGTAGCCTGCACTTTTATGCTACTGTTACTATGTTAAGCATACCCTCACTTAAAAAAAGGAAATTGTACAAGAAAGTTTTCATGAAACATAGATCTTCAAGACAGTTACTTGCCCAGTGACATCTTTGGCTTCAATGAAATTTACACTTCTTGTATGATGCTTGCAGTTAACAAGACCATACATAATCATCTACAACAGTATGGCACTAATAACATATTGGCATTTCCCTGTGTTTTTAATCACTTATGAATAACAATTTTAAAACATAAGAACTTACCCCATGGCTGTAGCCTCCCAGAGGATTTTCTAATTTACAGCATTTTCCTAATAAATTTTGATATATTGTATCCACTCTTAAAATCACTGGAACTGCCAACTCAGGATGCCTTCATGAATATTCATAAAGAAACCTGTAATTGTATGAAACACATTAGAAAGTACATAGTAAAATTCAGAGGTCGTGAATTTTCTTTCAAAAGATGATTGTGACTTTGAAATGCAGTCAATATTTTAACTGGCCTTAAAGAATTTGGAAACAGTAAGAGGCTGATGGACAGGTTTTACTGTCCATATTTTGAGATAAGGAAAGCAATTCAGGGCCTTCTCTAGTGGTGCAATGGGTTAGAGCACAGCACTATGAAGTGATCCGCAGCCACTGCAGCATGAGTTGGATTCCCAGGCCAGGGAGGTGACCCACACAGCGTGGCAGACTTCTCCTGTCTTACCTGCTCCTCCCCTCAGCAGTGTACTTCATAGATCTGCCTGTTCTGCTCCCCACTCTGCCTCTGGTGAATCCTCTCACTCCCCCCGCATTTCTGGCCTGTATCCCAGTTCTATATGCATAAATGGATAAAAAAAAAAGGAAACAATTCAACAAAATGACAGGATTTTGAAAAGTCACATAGTAGAGAGTGGCAGATCTAAAACTTAGAAAGCATCCTGAATAGCTGATAGTTTTTGATTTAGAAATTAATTTCAATTATCTAGGTAGTAATATGTTTTTCTCAATGGTCTTTGAGTCTAGATTTTATAAATACTATATTTTTAAAGAAAGTGTTGGATAATATTAAGTCACCATCTTCCCCTGTTTTCCACATAAACTTTCAAGCATGAGTAGTATATTAATACTCTATTCTGAGGAACATAGGAAGGAGAAATTGGAGCTCAAGAATATTTTCAAAGGAAAAATTGAAATACCCTAAATCTTAGGGTATTTAGAATTTAATTGTGTTCTGTAAATGTATAATAAACAAGAGCTCAATTTTCTTCAAACTGTAAATATTTCACTGATTTTCATATTAGGCAAGAATGATGAATTGTACAGACAGGATATTAGAGACAGAGGAAAACATTGAGCAGAGGATTCCTAAATTTTTGGTGGTTTATTTTATTATTAAAAAATCACTTTTATGTATTTCATTGACATAAATAAAAATAAGGGCTGAGATTCTTGAGAGACCTGAAATGGATTTGCATGGGCAAACTAAGTGACTTGACAGATATTTCAAAGCAAATACATGACAAAGCTACCTTAGGACTCAGGCCTCCCAACTCACAGTCAAAGTGATTTCCACTAGGAAGTGGTTCCTAGCAATTTTTCAGTACCAAAGTAAAGTAGTTTCATCTAATATTTACTTTTATAAGCCAATGTCAAATGTAATTTTAGAAACATTAATCATTGTACAAAAAGCTTTGAAGAAAACTCAAAATCTTATGCCTTTCAAAATTTAGTTCCTCCAAATAGTGCTTCACAAAGTGACTCTAAAATATTTAAATCGTGTTACAGTATCACATTAATATTATGTATTAACATCCATTTACCTTATGTACATATTCATTTGCCCTGCTGAGTTGACACCAGAGATGCTTATTCTCTCTCAACTCTTTAAATGTCACACCATGGCTTTGTGAATAGGCATTAAATAAATCAGAATAGAAATCTAGTCAAGTCTGCCAACCCCAACCTCTTCCTTAGACATGATTTAGACAAATCCCTCAGAAAAAAATTGCAGACACTTGATTCCTACAGTGTTTCTTAATATTCCCACATTTGTTGTCAACATTGAAAAATCAAAAGATTGCCAGTCCTAAAAAATGCATGCGACCCCACCACCCAAATCTGGCATTCCTTTGTGGCAGGCAACAAGGGGCTGCTTTGTAGAGTTGCCTACTTTGGACTCCATGAAGCATCTCTTGGCCACAGTTCGCATTTAGTCATTCATTTACATTATTGACTAGTCTTTGTCATCATTTAAGTTTGCAACCTCTTTCAAAGAATCCATAATATAATGGCCCATCATTAAGGTTTTAACAGAAAGCTCTATTACTCTTGGAGGAAGTGGTGTGGCCTCTCGGTGAATTGTTCGCATACAAATTGGTCTTCTGTAAATCTGCTGAGTGGCAGAGATGAAAGTTCAAACTTGTCATCATTTTTTGAATTAATAATGCATTCCCCTTGGAACGGCACTGGTAGTTCACAGCATAGAGCGATCTTGCTAGATAGACTAGCCTGTTTAGAACAGGTATAGTTCATAAGTTGGCTCTATAAAACAAAAAAGTAAGCAATTATTTTTGATGATTCACTCTGAACTTGTTTATTTTTATTGTTATTGTTATTAGTAGAAAACCAGAAACAAAGTTAGCATTTTATATTGCTTTACCTTTGAACAACTAAAAGACCAAAAAAAAAAAACCTCTTTTTTAGTGACTCATTCTATATAGGAAAGCTGTTCTCTTTGACCTTATTCAAGCATCACAAGCTTAATATCTCTTGAACAACTTAAGGGAAGGCAGATTGTAATGATGTTCTCATGTTTAACTCAATAAAATACAAATGAAAGGCTTTATTTTCTTGGTATTGTTATTTTTAGGATCCCAGATTATGAAACATTTTATCTTTGTCATTTACAATATACATTATCATTATATTATTATAACATTACTATTATAATAGTCTATTTACTTATATACACATATACACAATAATTTATGTATGCGTATGAAGAAGTTAGTCTCTGCACTTAAGGAACACATAATCTAGGAGTGTGTTTGAGGCAAGAGTGGATGCCAAAGATGCTTATTTTCTCTCAACTCTTTAAATGTCACACCATGGCCATAGACAATGTTCAGACAAAGAAGACAATGAACCTAGACTGATATGGTACACCGGACAGATGGTAGCACAGTTTATTGAGATTGATATTCAGGAGAAAAGAACAGGTTTAATGAGAATGACTGAAAAAGGAAAGTCAAATGTTGGAGTGTAGAGATATGATGATTCATGGCATCTTAAGCACCTACATAGAGATTTCCTCTAATCAATAATAAGTATAGATTAAAAACTGAGGAAAGGAGAAACGGACTGAAGGTTTAGATCCGAGAATGAGAAAGTGCTAAATATCTACCTATGGGACAAGTTGAAACTCATCAGGGACAGTGTGTGCATCAGTTAAGCAACTAACACACTCTCAGTGGCTTAATAGAATCAAGTTCACTTCTTTCTCAAAAAGATTGAAAAGAAGTATATGCTGCGAGACAGTAGTTCAGTAGCCAGGTTGACAGATGTCTTGTCATCTTCAAACTGTCATTTTAAACATTGCCCTAAGATTATAGATGTTTTGGACAGATTTTTGTGAGTCAAGTTTAGAAATGACATAAATCCTTTCTAACCACAATTTAGTCAGGTGGCCCCACCCAACTGCAGACAGATGAGAGTTGTAGTTCATAGCCTGACAGCTATTCTAGACAATGGGAGAATGGCAGGAGTCATTAGCTGAATGACTAACTGTCTCTGATTGTACATGTAAAATAAGAGATGAAAAGGTCAAGAACAGATGTATTGGGAATACCAATTTTTTTTTCCTTGATTTTTTTTAATTTTTTTTTATTACAAAGTTTATTTTTACATCATTTTGCAAATTTTTTTTTCCATCTCGATTGTAATCCCCGCGGGTTTCCCATCACCAAATCACCCCTGTGCCACCACCATAGTCCCGTGCATTTCCCTCCCTTCCCCTCCCCCCATTTTTGATCCATTCCCCACTCCACCCCCACAGAATGTCTCTGGTATATGGTTGTTCATTATTTTTGTTATTTTCTCGCCTGGTCCATTATACTCCTTCTATGAGTGAAACCATCCGGGGGAATACCAATTTTTAACGTTAGTAGAAGGGCGAAGAAAATTGATGGAAGAATTTATCAGAAAAATGGCATTCCAAGTTGATGAAAATTTTCTCCTACTATCTCCTGTCTGCTAGACAGCAACTTTGCAAGTCGTCATTGGAAAATTAAATGAGCGCCATGGGTGACTGTTATAACTCTAAAGTCAGAGTTTAGGAATTTATATCCTAAGGCGACTCCTTCATAGTTTTATGACCTCAGATGAGCTATTTTTGCCTCTTTTTGTAAAAATTTCCTTACCTGTAAAACTTCTTAAGGTTGCTAGAATTAAATGAGTGAATATCTGTTTAAAAAAAAAAAGTACCAGACACTGAGCAAGTATCAAAAAAGTTCTTGTTGAATAAAAGAAATGCTTAGAAATAGAGATTGGCAACATAGAACGCATTTTTTAAAAGCTTGTACTAAAAATAAAATAAAAAATAAAAAGTTAATACTACAGCAATTATTATATAGTCTTAGAATATTGACCTTATAGTACAGTGAAGTCAAGAAAAGAGTTAGAACCTTACCATATAAAATTGAATTATGCTGACTGGGTGATATAATAGACAATTTAGTTTAATTTATATTAAAAATTATGCCTTGTAAGCACATATTATGATATAATGAGCACTGATAAAAATACATAAGTTCTAGAAAACAAAACTCATTGTATACAGCCTATAACATGTTTCTGAAAACATTAAGAGAAATATTCTAATTAAAACACAATTAAATCAACATAAATAATAAATAGTGGGATATACTATTAAAAATGAGAGCTCAAATGATTTATTTTAATAAAGCTATATGAGTATAAACAAACTTGTAATTAAAACCTGATGTAATTAATAAAATTAAAAGCAGAAACTCAGGTGAAATTGATAAATAAATCCAAGAACTTTGTCTTCGAGAAGAGCAGTTTTTTTAAAGCCGATTAATTAAAGGAGAGTATACAAATACATGGGGAAAAGGAGATACAATTATGTAATTGATGATTTTAATTATCAGACAACAACATTATCATGCAGAGCTCTATATCCTAAGTGAGAAAATGCTGACGAAAGAGACTTTTAAAGTGAAAATGTACATTGTAAAATAAGTACAGTTGATTCTCATTATTCACGACAGTTATAAACACTGAACTCTATAAATCCTGACTCATTGACCCAGGGGAAAATTTAGGGTTAGGCTCCTGCAAGCCTCTGGCCATGTTTTCATCAACAGATAAAAACATAATCCTATTTTAGGGACCTCCCTGGTGGCGCAGCGGGTTAAAGCACTGCACTGAGAATCCAAAGCTGCTTCCACATGAGTTCGATTCCCGCCTCCCCTGGAGGTGACCACATGGTGTGGCAGACCTCTCCTGACCCGCCCGCTGCTCCCCTCAGCAGTGTACCTCGTCGATCTGCCTGTTCTGCTCCCCACTCTGCCTCTGGTGAAGCCTCTCACCGCCCCTGATCCTCTGGCCTGTACCCCAGTTCTGCATGTACAAATAAACAAATCTTTAAAAAAAAAAAAAAACATAATCCTATTTTATCTCTGTTTCTGTTGAAAGACACCTTTGCTAATACATACTAATACATACTGTTGATTTATTTACATTGACTCACCTTAAGCCACCAGTCATATAACTCATATATGAACTACATTTATCTAACACACGTTATTTTTTGCCCCTAGACACCTCATGGCCTTCTTGCATTTAGGTCAAGTGTCTCAAATTTTTCACTGCTCAGTGCATGCACACGTATACCAGTGACTAGCAATGTGCTGTAAGTGTTGACTTGTGCCTACAAATAAAATTTGGCAAGTATAGAATTCATGAATAAAGAGGATCACCTGAAAAGTGCTAAAAATAAGTCTAAAGCAAAAGAAATGGAAAGACACCAGACTCTATCTTCATCCCTGCTTCAGTTTTACGGACAAGTTCTTTCAAACCTTCACCAAACAGATCAGTCTCATTATTACTTCAGTTATTTCAAAAATTCAAAAGAAAAAACATCTCACTCATTTTGTTAGCAAATGCTGGTCTCAGTTTAACTCAGGCAATAAATGGAAACAGAGTTAGAAGGAAAGGAAAGTGGTTTTATTTGTCGACAAATGAGGAGAGCAGCAGACTCTCCTCCTGCTCTTTAGCAGGCTACAAGGCTATTCATACAAAGCTAGAAGAGAGGGGGAAGTGGACTGCAAAGGGCAGGGGGCAGGAGTCGGCATGGAGAAGGACATGGGTGGGCGCCAGCTCGCTTTTTCACATCTACTGTTTGACTCCCCTTTCCCTGGACACAAGAATGTAAACCTGTCAAACAAGGGAAGAGATGTTGCAAACAACAGAGAAAGACAAACTTGGAAACGGTTATCTGAGAGACAAACTTGCTGATAGTCATCTGAGAGACCAGACGAGCCATAAAGAAGACATATTTGTCATAAGAGGGGGAAAGACAAACTTGTTAATGTTTACCTGAGAGACCAGTCATTTGTAACTGTAACAATTTTTTAAAATTTAATATGACAGAATAGCAAGGCCTGATACAGTTAGTATATTTCAAAAAAGAAAGTTTGAGATAAATCTTACATCTAAACATAGATGGAAAAGTTTTAATTATATATCAATATATACCTAATGAAATTTACTTGAACAATTTCAGCTTAAGAAATCTTTATATATAATTCACCACTGAGTAAGTAGTGACAACAAATAAATGAACGATCTTAAAAAAAGGTAATAGAAAACTTACCAAGGCTCAGGACCCATCCTAATTAAAACAAAACAAATTCTAAAATATTGTAGAATAAGAGATTTCTTTATACAAAAGCACTATCTTTGTGAAGCAATTAACTCTAAACCTGGTCAGTCTAGTCTGGACCAAGAAACAAAAAAGCCAGACCTATCTATCCTTACTTTGCATTGTTTGTAAATACTAGCCAATTCAATTAACTAACTAACAATAGATTGTTCTGGCATTCACATCATAAAAGTATAATAGCAGTTGTTTTCCTATAACCAGTTTAGCATAGGTAAATAGGTATTAAGTATGTGCCAAGGAATTTTAGAGCTTTTGTTTTGTTTTCCCTAAGATGCATTCTGTGGAACCCAAAGTTCCTTTGACTTTAGCCAAATGCACCTATCTTCATGCAAATAAATTCTGATACCGTGTTCTAAAGAACCTACCCCCTTCTAAGTACTGAAGATCAAGATCATAGTCCTTCAGCTAAGAGGTTTGCTACACAAAGAGTAATTCCAGGAACAAACTTCTATTTTCTATATTTGCAATAGAATTGATAGTGACAGCTTTGACTTTCTGGGGGTAGGGTTGAGGGGAAGCACTTACCCAGGAGAGTAGATATCAAAGAAGAGCTGTGATCTGATCCCAACTCTGTCCCAGCAAAGTAAAACTTAGAATTTAAGGAATGCTATTGAAGTGTTTCTGGTCTATGACTTACTCTCTTGTTATTGTTATCCACATCAGATGTGTGATAATACGAAAATGGTTACAAGTGGGACTGCTTACCCACAGGAGATGTGGATCTGTCCATAAAATCATTGTATTAGTTCTTTGTTTCTGCAATTTTTTTGATCATGATGAACATTATTCAAACAGGCAAAATGAATGGAAATATGACTTTTAACTCATGATTTGCTCAAACCTTATCAGGTTTTGACCATTACTATTTTCTCCTTCTTTAGGCTTTTGAAGACGACAGTAAATGTGAGGGAAGTGATTCTGTGCTGTTCATGCCCCTACAGCAGTTGACCATTCAATGTCTTATATTGTTTCCCGTTTCCTCCAGGTTAAGATGGCAGTGGAGGTGTCTTTTGCAATGCTAACGTACTTGAGATTCAAAGATGAAACAAACTAGTTTGGAAGTAAACTAGAGGTCAGCTCTATAATTGAATAATAAAAGAAAAAGTGAAGTGAGACAGGCTAAGCAGGGAATGAACTCATATAATTACAGCTGGAGGAAAGGAAGGAAATTTTGTTACAGGAGCTGTGAAGAGAGAGCGTAACAGGATGGTCCCTAGGAAAAAGGGAAGTTCCAGGTTCCCTGCTCCAGGCTTATGGCAGCTTTCAGGCCTTGCTTGGGGCCAATCCCTTTTGGGTTGACTTTTGCCCACGAGGGGATGGGTAACTTCAGGTGTTTGATTTGGAAGTTATATTCTTTGTGTTCCGTATTGTATATTCACTGTATTAAAGTCCCTTTTCATTAAAGTTTTATATGTTTTGCTTGTTGCAGCAGATGGCAGAACCCACTTAGAGCAGGCAGGTTTGGGGGGCTTTAGGGGTGCCCCTCTCCCCCTGTCCTGGAACAGATTTGCTGTCCTGTAACAAGAGGAGACACCTTCCACCGCTATTACTGAGAAACAATAATGCTTTTGATTCGTTATACACTACTGTCACCTTATTTAAGAGCTACTTGCATTTTACAGGCTGAAGTAAATTCTGAGAACATGGAGGTGCTTACCCTGCCAAGCACACATACTACTGTGTTTCCTTCACAGCAAGCCTGATGTAGATTTTTAACATCTATGGTGAGCTTGGCAATTTCAGAAAAGGCAGCTTTTGGTTGTTTTTTGGTCAGTAGAATCAACTCCCTGAGAAGAAAAATAAGCAGTTTTAGAAAGTGTCTGATTCACTTCTTACTAAAATGAGTTCTATATTTATTGAGCTATCAAAGGGCAATACATTTGCAAAAGTAGGGTAAAGAATTTATTACAAATTTTTTTTTGTATATCTTCAATGATAGCACCCAGAACAAAGAATCAAATCCAATTGAACATGATTTAATTCATAATCATGTAAAATAGTCATTTAAATTATCACTTAAAGAATTTGAGTTGCTTAGCAGATAATGAAATGTAAGGCTGATGAGTCTTGAAAATTAATCTGACCTGACTTTGTTAAGTAAAGATTTTTATTGGAAAGTCAAAATGATATTGGCCTCGGTTTCCCTCAGTCAATAAAAGGAAGCAGAGTTTGAGGAAAAGGAAAGTGGTTTAATTTGTCTTCAAGTGATCTGGGGAGCAGTCTCATGTCTGAAAGTTCACCGTCCTCCCTTTGATAGAGTATCTATTCAGAGGGGGGGAAAGGGGAGAGTGGAAAGGGTCTGCAAAGATGAGGGGAGTAAGATCGGCAAGTTGTTTTGACGCAGGCATACAGATTTTGAGTGGCACAGCTTGTTGTCAACAACTGCAGTTTAATTTCCTTTGCCTTAGATTGCAAGAAGACAAACCTGTTGAACAGGAAGGAAAATTGAAGGAGATAGAGGGAAGATAAACTTATTAATGCTTATCTGACGGGCAGAATGAGCAGCTAGTCCTTTGTAACTGTGTCAAAAATAAGAGAAGCGAGTCCCCTTTACCTTTAATGACAACTAAGAAAATCCCTGTAATTCCTCTGGAAATAGAAAGAATGTGCCTACTTAAGAGAAATGAGCTTTCAGGGAGCTCAGCATTCTAGGTTGGAGGAGAAGACTGAATATACAGAAGACTCATGTCTTTCAGGGTGGGCCAGGAAAGAGACACACTCGGAAATAGCAAAGTGTCTTCCAGTCCATCTTTCATCACCACTCAAAAGAAAATACTTCTCACCTTTTTGGTTCTACATACATACATATATTTCAAGAGAAACTAATCCCTATTTTCTCCAGCCTCTACCATGCAGAACAATTCATTTTCTGCATCTGAATGTACAGGAACTGTTGTGTAGCAAGGAAATGACTAAGGGATTTGAGTGATGGAAGAAACTGAGTCAGAGATAATGGGTGAAGATGGGGATTGTGCAATTTCATGCAGAGACCTATGTTCTATGAAGAAGCAAATAGAAGAAACCAGACTTGCATGGAAAGACATTATTAAACAAGTTAAGTGATTTTTTCTCAAAGAGATTTAATCAAAAGTTGTGATCCAACAGCAAAAAAGTCCAGAATTACAGTTAACTTACACTGCTTTAGCTAATTTGTGGTTGAATTTAACACCGATTTCACATAAATGGTGATGTCTTAAAGATATTTCCTTAATGTAGTTTCCCAGGGGTTTTAGCTGTAATTAGAAAAATAACTCATCAATGATATATGGTAATAACAGAAAAGTTAGTCTCATCATTATCAGGAAAAAAGTAAAAAAAAAAAAAAGTGTATCTCCTCAAAGCTAGAAAGTCGTTATCATCTTATTTAAAAGACATCAAATGCAAAAGTATCATTAATCATCTTTTCAATAAAATAGCATCTCAATTCCCAGACATCATTTGGAATGTAAATAAGAATTAGAAAGTGAGCACATGAAAGTCTAGAGAGCCACTGAAGTAAATTTCAGTAATGTCTTACAGTTGTATTTTGTTTTTATTCAAGTTGCTCAATGTCATGTTGGTCATGTTTCCTACTTACCTCAAAGAGAAGTTCTGGTTTTGCAATATACACATAGGAAGTACCTCCCTCCCACAGGTTCATAGTCAATAACACAGAATTCTACTTTTGAAATTCTATTCAGAATAAAGTTGTCTAAATAGGTCATTTTAAAAACCATACAAATCTTGTGATTGCACAATTTAGATACAAACTGTCTCAACAGTAAGGTGATAGTTAAGTAAAAACATCACATTGTTTTATTATTCTAGTAAAAAGCTAGTATGTTTAAATCTCTAATTAAGACTAAGTACTAATCATGGGGTATCATTTAATAAAGTTAAAAACTAATACCCCCACCCCTCCTTGCCCAGCAGGAAGGTTTGAGAGACTTGAATACAGAAAGGGAAAGGTTGCTATAGGAACCAAGGCATAGGACTGTGGAAACTATGAGCTGGCTATTAGCTGGCCACTGATAACCAACTGTTATTTATTTGCTATCTGCAAATCACAGCAGAACATTCCTTACAACCTATGTAGTATAGCTCGTTTCTAAAGACAGACCTGGGCTACCTAGACCACTGCTGACCTGATTCCATGACTATCTCCATGGTGGTCTTAGACTAACTATGCCTGTGATAACATCTGCTTTGCTGACACAAATATCTCTTGACTCATGGTCACAGTGTCTCCTTCCCAGTCCCTTGTTAAGCTTTGTCCCCTACTCTAGTCCCACCCTCCAGACTTTACTCTCCTACCATTGTCTCATGATCAGCTTTTCTAGCCTATATGATTTCAAGAATTGGCACAAGAACTTCTGCCCAAGTAGCAGTCTTGCCTTGCAAACTGGCTCCATGACTTTTTGATCCTCACTGAGTTCCCGCCACAAGGCAGCAATGCAGTTTCTGTTGCAACATAGGACAATCACTTTGACCAGTAATGTGTGTGGAAGCAGAGCCAGAACACATTCCGTGTCAAAGGTCAACACTCAAGGCCAGACATCCCAGCAAATTACTGGTCCAAACGGACCTCCAGTCATGAAAAGTACATGAAAACAAGTTATAGAAGGGACCCCCAAATCCTTTGCTCAAAGACTGCTCTCTTTTAGTCTGGCCCCAGGCTCCCTTGCAGGGTATTTAAATAAATCTTCCTCTTCTCTTCTCCACTCTTTCAAAGTGGTGAGAATGTATGATGTTTCAACCAAAAGAATGTGGAGGAAGTAACTCCTGAGAATATGTCATGAAAGGCTATACAACTTTTGCTATATCCATTTTGAAGCCTTTGGCCTTAATGTAAGAATTCTGGTTGCCCTGAGACCACACTATAAGGACGCCCCAACTAGCCAAGGTTGACAGACCACGTGGAAATGTCATCGTCACTGCCTATAAAAAGGAAGATGTAGAACTCCTCAGCCCCTGGGATTCTCAAGAAAGATAACAAAATGTTTGTCATGCTTTGAGTTACTAAGTTTTGGGTGTTTTGTTATGCAGTGAAATTAAATAAAATATAAAAATTTATTATGAAGTAGTAACTTTGGTCATGCTTCTCCAAGTTTAACGACTATATCAATTGCTTGAGTATCTGGTTAAATGAAGCCTTATTTATAGTAGGTCTGGGGAAAAGCTTCAGATTCTGCATTTATTTCATGCCACCAGGGGGCACACATTTGGCATCATAAGGCCCTCAATAACAGTTGGTATACAAATATTTTACCTTTGTCTGGAAACATTCTGTCTTATTTTCTTCTTGGCAGCATGACTGAATAGCTGTTTCATAGCAATCAGACATGGTCAGAATAGTGGGCCCATATAAAAAGGGATGCTTTCTGGAAGTTTCATAAATATACCTGTAATTTGACAAATATAATGCTGTATAATTTTTAATTCAAAAGTAAGTGCTGATACCATTCCTTCAAAACTTAAAATTCATTTAGTTATGGTGAGGAAAGGTGAGGTAGCACTATACTTAAATGTATCAAATGTTCACTGCATTAACCAGATATCAGTAGACACTTTTATAACTGATGTGTATTGTAAACCTGTGGTGACATTATCTTTTGGTGAAAAGTAAGAAATCTTTTCTTGGTGGGTGACTGAGGTGGTGGCCATTTGGGATGGTTATCAAATATTTCCAGTTCTCCCTTTTTGAGGCAACTGGTGGGATTGTCCATTCCCCTCTTCTATGAAGTGCAATGACAATGTTATTTGTTGTGATTAGTGATAGTTGAGTAGAAAGGATTTGTTCTATTTGTTAGTGCCAAATAGTTTTAGAAGAAATGCATTATTTGCCATCATTTCCTGCCTTTGATACAATATGGAGGCAGGTGTTGAGATGGGTCTTTGTCAGTCTGTTAGTGACTGTGATAAACAGACATTTTATCAATATATCAATATATTGGACAGATTCCTGAGTGAAAAATTAACCTTTGTTACATGAAGCTGCTGAAAATTAGAAGTAATTTACCAACACATTGTAATGTAGCTTATCCTGGGGTTGCTACTTTTGTTGTTTAAAAACCTACAAAAGGAAAAATCATCCACAAGAGAAATGTAGGTCAACTACTTGCCACTGAAACTCACACATTAGCAACTGCACTAAACTTAGAAAAGTATGTCTGCTACTTGTTCACTCTCACCCTGGGGTTCCAAAATTTGTCCTTGGAAGTTCATTCAAAAGATATGTATCAGCCCAGTTTGTCAAGCCCAACTTGTAGAGACAAAACAACACAACTGATATTTCAACATGTGCTGCTTCCCAATACAAGGCAACATTCTTGGTAAGTATAAAATTTCACTAAAGCCACTCAGTATCTCCTATCTCTATTAGGTAATATGCTCAATTAAGAACTTGGTTTTTTGTGCTACAGTTTTCCTTACAAGATATTCAAGAGGATTCAATCCTTTTTAAATCTCCAAAGGAACAGTTTAAGTATACAGACAAGTTTTCGAATGAACAGAACAATTCTAGAAATGAAATGTCCCAATTGCAAGATAACATAGGGTCATAGTTGGCTAGAGGTTGAGTACTGGTCAGAATATGATAAAATCCTAGGATGATAAAAACTATCACTGATTTTATTTTAGCTAATCCAAAGCTATACTTATGTTTTTGTGTTATCTATATACTAGAATTTTTTATAAGACCGAACAGCTGATATTTCCTCTCCCTTTGATAGAAGTTACTATTTCCTTGGTTGAGACTTAAATTAAGTTTTTTTACTTATAATTGTGAGGCAACTAGTTATAAAATCACTTTTCCTCCGAATATTTGTAATTGTATGAACACAAGTTAGATTTCTTCACAAAGTAACTCCTTAATACTGTCTTCATTGTAAATATCAAGAAACTAAATTGACTGCCCACATATTGATTACAATTTATCATTTCTGAATGTTCAATTCAAAAATTAACTCTATAGTTCTCATATAGACTGGATGACACTATACTAAATAGGTTACCAAGCTATTTAAAATTGAGAAAAATGTTTCTCCCAAGACAAGAGCAAGGTGAAATAACTTACCTCTTCTTTATTGACATTTGGCTTTCTCTGTCCATTGCACAGATGTTCTCAGGACTTGGAATTTGGACTGTATCACTATATTCCGTATCATCTTTTTTGTGTAACAGGAAGCACTTATGTCTTGCTGTGCTGCTTATATTGCAACAGTCAGAAAAAATCTGTTTGTCAGCCATTCCTTGATTATTACAAATATGATCTAGGAAGGAAGTCATCTGGAGAAGGAAATAATGGAGAAGCATGTGTGGTTTGCATTCTTCCCCATGGTTGATTAAGGAAATATTTCAAAGAAAAGGTAAATGAGAACACAATGTACTTTTTCATCCAAAGTCCTAGAACATGGCTCTTTTTAACAAACAAAAAAAACCTTTTAGGTGTTTTAAAAGTTTATTTATTTATGCATATAAGAACTGGGGTGTAGGCCAGAGGTGTGGAGGTTAGGTGTAAGAAGACTCACCAGAGACAGATTGGGGAGCAGAACAGGCAGTTCTCCTGAAATACACTACTGAGGGGAGCAGTGGGCAAGACAGAAGAGGTCTACTGTGCCATGTGGGTCAGTTCCCTGGCTGGCCAGGGATTGAATTCACGCTACAGTGGCTAGGATAGCTTGATAGTGCCATCTTTCACACCACAACCACCAGCGAGGCCCTTTTTTAGGTTTTTCAATATACATTCCGGTATGCTGAACTTTGACCAAATAGAACTTATCTTTTCTCCTTTCCTATGTAAATGCTTCATTTTCATATACTTGAGAGGTAGTAAAATAAACACAAAATGGGCAGGGCCTAAGGAATTCAAGATATTATTTTTAGAAATGGAATCCTTTGTGTTCAGAGTTGAGCATGCCACCCTCTGATAGGCCTACTTACTCTGTGTTTAGTAACTGTGATTCTGAAGCTGTAATATTTTTCAAAATGGCAAAATCCTATTAAAGGCACCCTGGAATTTTTATGGCCATTTTGAGTAACATTTCAGTTTGACCAGATTGCTCATTTAAGAAGTGCTGTGGAGAACAGGATATCCAATGGGGAACAAATAAATGGCATGTTTACTTTAAATGGTATGCAGACACTTCCAAAATACTTTGAGATTCCAAAACACTATCCCTGGGAGATTTATTGAAAAAGTCTAAAGAAAATTAAAAAGACAAAGGGTATCTGAAATAACATCTAGTCCTTCCCTTTTACTCCCTTCTAAGAGTCAATCATCAAAGCTGCAGCCCAGGGAGCCCATTGTAATCAGCTGGGAACACTGGCAAGAAGCCTGGCCTCATTGCCCTAATTTGAAGGTATTTAATGAGAACTATTCACACCGAGAAAAAGATGGCAGTTTACTTCTCTTGATGCCTAATTGGTTTTAGTTTGGTTTCTATGGCAAGTTTATTTGAAGACTTGAACTCTGGAGCAATGTGCATTTTGTGTCAAATGTCCAAATTGAAATGTAATAATTCAGTCCGTTTTCAAATATTTTTGGAGAATAGTAAATGGGTGGGGTACTGTAAGCCTCAAATGACATTTGAGATTTGGAGAATGAAGGCAGAAAAAGGTCATCTTTTGGACTGGAATTAAAAAGGAATCACCAGAAAATAAGTGAAAGTAACAACTGGCAGGAGTACTTTATTTAAAATGTGTTTGCAGTAAGACTGGTTATATTTTATATTTCCACTAGTAAAAGATAAGTAGATTTTAGTCTCAAGAATATTGGGGAAAATCTATAAATAAAGAAAAAAATTCTTATTTGTATTTTAAATTGCTACACATGAGGATTATTAGTTAAAAAATGTAGATTATAATAACATACTAGAGTTTATTCAAGAATTGCCTAATTACAATATAGACATACTTTACAAGAGGTAGTGGAAATTCCTAAGATTTTCTACTCACAGGTAAGAAAGAGCTTATAAGAACATTTACTTTTTTCTCATATTCTCTCAATACATGAATGATATTTAAATTTCTTTTAAATTTAGTTTCTTAGTTTCCCAGGGATATTTATTGAAGGATATCAGACAATAGAGTTCTAGTGACAAGCAGAGCAGCTAACTTATAAAACAAGTGCATTGGTATTTGAAGATATAATTCATTCTCTTGAGTGTTTGCAAATATTGTGATCTCCCAGGAATAAACTAATAAACTCTATAAGCCTACAAAAATTATATTTTGAGTGTGACATATGTACATATTATTGCCTTAAAATTTCCCACCTAGTTATTTAAACATCCCCCCTCAAAATTTCATCTTTGGGTTATAAGTTAGTTGGTTAGCTGGGGTTTTTTAAGACAGAAAGAATGGCAGAACATGATTCACCTACCAATTGGAGAAGACATCCTGTAGATGACTCGTGAGACTTGATGTTTTTGCACTTCTCTGCAAGATTTACCAGTTCTTTAACTATGGTTTGTACTTCATCATAAGTCAATTCCTGAAGAAACTGAGCAACCATAATGCTAGTGCTTAAACATAACACCATGTGAAGTGAATAGATTCAAACCCTTTTCTTCCATCATTCTTTCTGATATCACTCCCACCTCCACCTATCACAAAAAAGTTAATATGATTTCAAATTTCAGACGAAAGAATATTGACAATAAACTCACATGTCTCTTAAATTCTCCTCTACATAATTTTGGCTTTTCATGTGCTGCATGGCTAGAAAAAAGAGAGCGAGAGAGATTTTATTTGTGCAAGAAGAAATTTTCCAAATTGAAATGTCTTTACAATTCAGAAATCTATATTTATTCAGTCATAAATTTTTTATCTATTTTATTCAGCTTGTTAGTTAAACTAAATCACCAGAGTATATCTTTACTTATATTTACCTATAATCTATAGTGATATTTCCACTAAAATATATTGTGTAGTTGAAGTCTATCATTGGCCTACAAGTAAGTTACATGTACTTGTGTTGATATTTCTAAACTAATTTAACTTGGTTATTTGATTCTTTACATTAGGAGTTTACAAGCTCACCCACGAAATATTAGAAAAATTAAAATTTAGCATTGGAAGTAAAAGCTTAAACATTAACATTTTACTAGGAAAAACATTATCTTGGAAACCTCTCCATCCTTATTTTCAACACATATACATACATGTGTGCTCTACTGAAGAGAATGTTTCCTTCTACTAATAGCTTCAAAGGAGCTTAGCAGCTCACTATAAAGAAACCACTATTATCCATTACTTTAACATAAGGAAAGATTTTGGAGGTAGTTAATCTCAGTTCAGCTTCCATCTCTGAAATTTAATTTGACTTCTGATACTTAACATGAACTTGAGCTTCTGTTTCTCATGTCATACTAAGAAAATAAGTTCCACTACTTTGGATAGTTGTTAGGATTAAATGAAAGTAAATCCATGAAATACAGAATATAATGCCCGGAGCATAAAAGAACATAAATAGTGCAACTCCTAATATTATTTCTGCTACTATGAACACTCTTCTTCTATCTAAAATAACTTAATTTCAAATACAAGTTTGAAATGGCCAATCTCACTCTGAGTGGAAGTAAATCGAAACTGAGATCTTCCACGTGTTGCCCCAGCATGTCTACTCTCTTCCTGTATCTATTCTGCAATTTTCAAGCCCTCCTTTGACCATGAAAAGATATGCTTTTTCAAGTACCAAGTGAGACACATGCCTTACGTGATACATGAAGTATAAAGGTTGTAAACAGAACCTACCCTGGCACATGCAATGTATAGGTTGCATCTAGCAAGCTTTTGTGAAGAGTTTGACATTCAGTATAGCTCAAGAAAATGAGAATAAGTAGGCATCTACGAGTCTTCATTATTTCAGCTGAATCTTTCAAGTGCTCTGTCATTTGAGATAGTTGAAAAATCCTTTTATATTCTTTTTAAGAAATTACTATTAATAATTAACCTTTCTCTGGTGAATATTTTTCCCAGGTCACTATGACTCTGATAAAATTTAAAAATTCTTGACAATGAGGAGATATTGTTAGTGTTTGCATTCATTAATGAATATTGGATTTTAAAATGAGTCCTGACAATCTTTTATTTTTTTTGTCAAGTTACATGATGTAGGCCTTGTAATAATTAATAAACATCTTTTGTAAGTATCTCATTTCCTGAAAATGCCTATTGACATGTACAAAGTTCTAACTGGCAGAGAAGATTAACATGTGCCGCCCTGGTTTCAAGTTAAAGGTTAAGCCCAATACCAATGTTAGGCATTTTTTTAAGACCAGAGAAAGGCAGGGAGGGAATACAAGTCATTGTTTACTATGGGTCTAATTCTTTATATGACTATATTTAGATTGCAAAAAAAAAAAATTATTTACTTATGCATACTTATGCTAAGAACTGGGGTACAGGCCAGAGGCATGGGGTCTGGGGATGAGAGGATTCACCAGAGACAGAGCAGGGAATAGAACAGGCAGACTGACTGAAGTAAACTGCTGAGAGAAGCAGCTGGTGAGACAGGAGAGGTCTGCTGGGCCATGTGGGTCACCTCCCTGGCGGAGCATCAAATTTATGATTTAGTGGTGGCAGATAGCTCCATAGTGCTGTGCTTTAACCACTTGCACCACCAGGGCAGGGGCTCCAGAACACAAAATTTTTATTTCTTGAAAAAGAAACTTAGATTCAGGATCATATAATCCGTTCATGTACTCATGTAGTTAAAAATTCAAGTCTGAATTTGAACCCACACCATCCAAGAAATAACATTAAAGCCAAATTTCTAACCTTTCTCAATGGTTTGTGCTTTGCCTTTCATCCAATTTTGGGTGTAGGATGAGACACTGGTAATCACTAATCAAATCAATATTCTAAGATTCAAATAAAACTCCCAATTTTCAGAAATGGGAGATCATTAGTTACTCTTTTAACCATTCCCCTCTTTAGTTTCCTCACTTGTAATAATTGTCTGGACCAGAAAAATCTCTAAAGTTGGCAGTCCATTACTTGACTATGCTATTCACATGTTCTTGTGGTTTCCTCTGCAAAAAAAAAAAAAAAAAAACATGTTCTTGTGGTTTCCTCTGCAAAAAAAAAAAAAAAAGTCAAAGAGAGATATATTTGTCCACAAAATATAACACCAGACCCTCCCTGGTGGCGCAGTGGGTTAAAGCACTAAGAAGCAAAAGCCACTTCAGCATGTGTGAGGTGATGGCACCGCAGACCTCTCCTGACGTGCCCAATGCTCTCCTCAGCAGTGTACTTCCTCTTTCTGCCTGTTCTGCTCCCTGCTCTGCCTCTGGTGAATCATCTCACTGCACCTCCAGCCTGTACCCCAGTTCTGTATGCATAAATAAATTACATATATATATATATAAACACCAACTCTGTTACTATATACTTGTGGGAACAGTGGCTTATGGTAAAGAACAGGAACGGACCTATGGGATGGGAGACCTCATACACTCCAGTAGTTTCTAAAAGCTCTGGATACCTCCTTGAGTACTTGCAAATAAGCCTGTGATATTTATAGTGTTTGTATATTAGAATTCAGAAGAACAAGTACAACATCAAGTCCTGTTATCATTTTGTCTGGTCAGATCTTCTAATACTGAGTCTCCTTTCAAACGCTGTGTTTCTCCTCTTGTTTGATCAAGGAGTAGTTTAAGAGGAACTACTTAAGATATGCTTATTTATTTATAAATTATATACATACACTACTTTATTAACAGGTTGTGTACTACAAAACATATAAAAGTGGAAATTTAAAAGATTACAAATAACAATGAAGAAATGCTTTTTTCTTTATTGGCAGCCCCAAGTAATTTTGTTTTCTCTAAACATTTTATTTGTGATAGTGTGTAACTATTTATACATATACAAAAATAATTATGTGTATAATTATTTTGGGGAAGTTTAGTTTACCACCTTTGATACAATTCAAAATCAGTTTTATGTTAATACTTGAATTTAGTGGTTTTCACAGTTGAAAAATACATCAAAGGCATGTAGATTCAAATAGAAAAACTGCATTGACAACTGAGTTCCAAAACAAGAGGAACTTGAAATGGTCACCAAAGTTCTCTTTCGTAGTATAACTTGAACTAATGATGCATTTACTTGGGAATATAAAATTACTGGCACTATTAGAATTATTTCATTCATGGTGTATCAGAAATGGTAGATTATGCTAATAAATATTTTCAGAAAATAAATATTGAGCATAATTCTGTTTGAAAATGTGTTCACACATCCACCTTGAGATGGTGAAAATATGGCCTCCTTCCCAAGGACAGTGTCACCTTGGTGACAGAATATAGAGGAGCTTTGCCAGTTACCTCACCCTGTCACCTATCATGCCTGCATTCTCAACTACTGGCAATGCTTTACAGCTAAACATTAAGTCCTAGCAGGTGCTAAGCACAAGAATTAAGTTTTGGGCATAAGAGATAAAGATGGGATATCTGATCTTTATAAAAACTTTCTCGGGCCCACCCTGGTGGCCAGCAGCCTAAAGCACAGCACTAAGAAGCTGAATCCACTTTCGCAGGAGTTTGATCCTAGGCTGCCTCGGAGGTGAGGCACAAGGTGTGGCAGACGGCTTCTGATCCGCCCACTGCTCCCCTCAGCAGTGTCCTTCGACAATCTGCCTGTTCTGCTCCCCACTCTGTCTTTGGTGAATCCTCTCACCCTCTGCATCTATGGCCAGTATCCCAGTTCTGTATGCATAAATAAATAAATCTTTTTTAAAAATTAAAAAAAAAAACTTTCTCATTTAACCTCACTTCATCTTCAAGATAAGTGTTGTTTTATAGTAAAGAAAATTAAGTTTCAAGACTATTGAAGCATCATCTTCGTACTAATGGAATATAACATTTTAATCTAGATCCTATGGGATGACTACATCCTTTTAAAAGCCAAATTTGTGTTCTTCTCCAGAGACAGGTGTCTTCTCTAAGTTCTTCAGCTGTGTTATTTACCATTTTCTTTCGAGCAGAATTTTATCTATCATTCAACATAAGTTAAAAAGATATACTGTGTTTTGTGAGAGCAATACTTCACAAAAGTTTTTCAGTCAAGAAAAATTCTTTTCATCTCTTTTTGTTCTGTGATCTTTGACTCTTGATTAATCTTGATTTTTCTGATATTGTCTGTTTCCATCAGAATTCTAAGCCCCAGATATGGGACAAACTCCTATGTCCTAAAAGCAGTGGTGCTAAGCCTTCAGAGAATCAAGTACATTTTTAAATAAATGATGTAATGGGCCCTTCTCAGGAATAAAATTGCACCTAAAAACACACCTCCAATTTTTGGTGATGTACATTTAGGACATGTAACCAGTTCCCTTGAATCACATACAGTGTTGCAAACTAATGTGACCTCAATGATTAAAATGCTTTAAAATTTAAAATAAAAAACAATATCACCCCTCAAACTGCTAAACATGGAG